TAATTTGATGGAATCATTTTACCAAAGGTATGTTTTAGAGATAATTTTTTGTATATTTAATTGGTCAATATTTTTTATACTTTTAACTTATTTAGATTACATAGTTAGATTTTAAGTTTCAATATTTATTAATTAAATAAAATGATTGGTTGAGTAAAAATATCGTTGAATTAATTAATACTATTTTTAATAAACAAATATAAATAACATTATTTAATTGAAAATATGAGTATTTTTAAATTTGAAACTTCACACAATAAATAATCAATATCTTACCCTCTCGACAATATTTGATTTTATGAAAGTTCATCAAATTTTAATATTTCAAGGTAATTTAAGTTTTAAAGATTTAAATATAGATGAAGATATGGATAAAAATAATATTTTTAGAATATATACTGTAACTATTCTTTTTGTTTTATATACATAAATATTTAAAAATTGAGTTCAAACATATCTACAAACCAACAATCAAACTTAACTTCTAAAGTATAAAATTACTGAAAGAATACTAAAATAAAATATTACTTTTGCATAAGTTAGTCATGCAAAATTAGACTCCAGGATGTTACAAAATTAATTAAAGTATTAAATGATAAATTTGCTTCATAAACTTATTTTTTGTGTAATGTTTTTCTCTAATTTTTGAAGACAGTGTAATATCATCCCTACAGTTAACAAATGATAACTTAGATCATTAGTTAGCCCAAAAATTACTAAAAAGAACCATAAAATTACAAAAAAGAGACCAAAATATTCCTTTAACATTTGGAGCAACATTATCCTTTAACCCTTAATCAAATATGTAAGTGTAAACAAAAAAATAGTAAACAACATCACTTATTTATAATTGGTATAATATCTAAATGAGAAGAAAATTTAATTTGAATTTAATAATCTTATTTAAACTATAGATCTTTAGAACTATATTGGCTAAATTTTTAAAATTTAAGTAAACTATTTTGAGATCTACAAAATTGTATTAAATATTGTCAACCATATAATTTTTTAACTTGAATACATATTAAAAAGAATATTCATTTTTAAACTCAAAATCTTTTTTCTAACCGACCCATTTATAATTTATTATATATTATAATTTTTTTAGATAGAGTATTTATTATTTGATTTGAAAAAAGGGATAGACACAATTTAAGGAGCATGCACAAAATGACATGTGACATTTACTTGTATACATATTAAAATATTTATTGCCTGGTCAATTTAATAACTTTTTCATAACCTCTCACTAAAATATTTTATATATGATATTAGTATAAATAATTAAAATAACAATATAAAATTTGAATTATATTTAGTATAAATAATTATTATGAGTAATTTTAAATTTTAAAATTTGAAATAAAATTCATCTTTAAAACTCAAGTCAATATATCTTTGATTATTTAAAATAAGATGCTAATTCATCAATATAAATATTTAAAATTAGATTGTAAAGTAAATTTAAATTTAACTATATAAATATATATTTTACACACACACACATACAAAACATGACCACTATTTTAGTTTATTTATAAATATTTAAAAATTTTGTCCAAACTTATTTACAAACTAACAACAAAATTTGACTCTCCAAGCATCAAATCACATATAAGATGCACATAAAGTTATTAATAAGAGTTAGTCCGATTCTTATAAATCTAGCCTTTAAGGACTTAAGTCCATAAATTTAATTTTTTTATAAATAAGTATTTTTCTTAAGCCAACTTTTATTAATAAGATTTAGGACTAAGCTTGAAAGCTCGGATAGTTTTTAAAAAAAATTAAAAATTTTAATAATAATAATACATATGTAGATTATAAAGTACCTTAATTAAATATCTAAAAGATAATAATAACCTTTGATGTATAATCAAAATAATACAAACCCTAGAATATAATATAAATTATACAAGTCCAAATTTTCTATCATTGAAAATGTAAATATAATGTTAAAATATTTTGATAGAAATTTATTTTTGACTAAAAGTTTTAATATGATTTAAATTGATTAATTGTAATTTAATATATATTCAAAATTTTACTGAAATTTTTCTTTATTTTTATATGAATGATAAAATTGCATCCAAAAACTATTCTTGGTCTCTTTTCTTGGTTAAAAAAATCATATATTATTGCATCCTTAAAATAAAAATATTAAATAAAAATGATCGATAAATCTAATAAACATAAATAAATTTCATTATTAAAATATATCATAATACAATAATTTAAAAAAATAAAATGTAATTTTAAAATAAAATCAATTTTAAAATAAAATCAATTTTAAAATAAAATAAAAAATAAATTGAAAATAAATTGAAAAAGCACGATTAAAAAATAATTAAATTATATTTATAAAATTTATGATGAAAAATAAAATTTAAAATACTATATTATAATATCTAAAAGAACATAATTAAAAGTTGCTAAAAAACTCTTAGTTGATTAGAATTAAAACTTAGATTGAAAAAATAATTTTAATATTTATATGTATACTTATTACAATTATATAATATCTTTTTTATTTTATTAAAAATCCCAATTTATTGATTGTATATGGTAAATAACTAATTGAATGAGAGAAAACGTTATAAATCTTAAGATATTATATAATTATCTCATAATGAAATAATAATTTGAATTTCAAATCGATAAATCTATATATTTTATTTGTTTATTTTTGAAGTTGGACCAGTCAAAATATAACCAAAATTTAATTTTGTTATTATATGAAAATATAAAATAATCTGCTTACTTTATTTTAAATTGTTCAATTTGAATTTCAAATAGATAAATCTAGTTAAAATAAAATAAAAATATATAAAAATGGTAAATTATTTTAAACCTCAATTCAAACTCTAAACCTATCAAATAAATAGGTCCAAAAGAATAAATAATTCTTTCAGACCTATTTATTTTATTTGATAGGCGAGTCGTACATATAAAATAAACACTTTATTATTTTTAAAAAACAAATTCAACAAATTTAAATACATACCAACTAAGTAATTATCATTTGTTGTCTCTCTATCTACAAGTTCTAGAATATTAACAAAATTAAATCCAAAATAATAGATGAAACCTGTTTGAGGATGCAACTTAACATTGGTAGAGAATAGGAAAGCTAATCTTGTAAGGATAATATGTTGTCCTATATGATCATAAATACTAAGAGGCCTTAAATTTTGAAATTTCATATATTTTAAAGGGATGCAACATATCTTCAAAATGTCATACAAAAGGCTTTTAAATGATTGCAGAGATCCAATCACCCTATAGCAATATTATCCTATAGATTGAATAAGTATTATATATTGGATGTAATTAATGTGATTCAAATTATAAAAGAGAAATACAAAAGACATAAACACTTACTCCAACATCCTTGAAAACTAATTCAACATTGAATGAGGCTCATTTAGGAGGGGGAATTAAGAGGTGATTTAATTAAAAAAATCAAAATGATATATATTAAATATTTATTTTTTTGAGTGTAGATATTAAAGGAATTTTAATTCTACCAAACTTAATATAAGAATTTAACACAATGAGACTCTAATTATTGATATATGAAATTAACAGTTCAAACAACTGATTGCAAAATTCAAATTATATAAATATGGAAAAAATTAATATATGAATTTAACATAATGAGTCCCAAATAATTAAATATATTAATATCTATACTTTATCATATTTATATTTTTTGAAATTCATGAGGATAGTTTTAAATAGTAAAAAACATATTCTTTTTTAAAATATTTAAATAGATGTATATTAATTTAAATTTGGATCCTAATATATAGCTGTATATATATACTCAAAATTATGAATTCATATTTTCAAAATATATTTAAGTTAGATAGAGTTCTTAAATAGATAAATAGTAATTAGTAGTTTAAAAAAATTTAAAGAATACTAAGTAAAACAAAGGAAATTGTATTGATTTTTAATTCTAATGTCAAATCCGAAGGATTCCCTTCTAAATCATGCATAAAAAAATATTGATATTTAATATTAATAGATAGATATTAATTTACTAAGTTATATATTAAATAAAATATTGAACCTAAATTTTCACCATATATTTAGATTGGATAGAGTTATTAAATAGATAGATATTAATTTGAATTTAAACATGCCCATATTTGAATTTTAAATGGATAAAAATAGATTTTTATATAGATTTTTATATACACATAAAAATTAATAATTCATCCCACACCTAACTCCAAACCTGAATAATATATTTTATATTTTCAAAAAATAATAAAACATCTCGAACATAATCTTAAACCTGACTCTAGAGCACATAATCGTACGAAAGGCATCCCAAAAGTACAGAATTGTAGCAAACCTAAAAATGAATACGTGACATTCTCTCGTAACCTTAAACCCTACATTTATATATATAATGATATGAACTACATAAAAATTGTATGCTCGACATTTTAAAACTTGATAATTAAAATGAAATTAAAAAAAGTTATTCATGTATAAAATGATTAAATTTAAGTACTTTGTTAGATAAAAACCGGGGGGCTAACGATTAATGCAACTCATGGAAGCAATACAAAAATGCAACTTTTCTTACTCTGAACGCTCTCAGTGGGGACATATATGTTATTCACTTTTTTACTCTGAATACAAAGAAAGAGTCATGAATAAGGATTGATTTCATCTTTTGTCTATATAGAAACAAACAAGGAGTCAATAATGAACAAAAAGCCATCAAAGAAAAGTTTGGCAACAAGCAAAGGCAATGGACGCAGCGGAAATTAATTAAATTCCATTAAAAAAAATGTAACTTTCTTATACACAAACTAGATAAATGTTTAATTTTCTTAGTTATTTTGCTCTATATAAGCAGGGGGGCTCTCTGCTTTGTTGAAACAATGCCCAAGTGAGTTCTTTGTATAGGCTCAAACTGCTAACTGAGCGTATAGATATAGGACAAAAAACTCATCAAAATAAAAAAAAATCACCATATCATTATGTGTTCCGTTGAAGCCAACCCAGCAAGTGATGAGTACTTTGAAGCTCAAGCTCACTTGTACAAACACATTTTAAGCTACATTAATACCACAATTCTCAAGTGTGCTGTTCAGCTAAGAATTCCAGATATCATCCACAACCATGGCCAACCCATTACTTTTCCTCAATTCGCCTCCACTCTTGAACTTCACCCAACAAAATCTGCCTCTCTAGAGAGGCTTGCTCGCTTACTGGTGCACAATGGCTTCTTAGCAGCAGAAACGAAAGTGAACGAGGAAGATGAAGAAATGGAGGCATACACTCTCACTCCTTGTTCTAAACTGCTCGTCAAAGGCATGGAACCAAACCTTGCATCAATGGTGTTATGGTTTGCTGACACTGGTTGCATGGCTGCGTTTGATTTGCTGGGAAGCTGGTTCAAAGGGGAGGTGAATATCATTGCTACAGAGGGAAGCGTTTGGGATGTACTTGATCACGATCCTCAAAAATTGAAGTCTTTCAATAAAGCTATGGCAAGTGATTCACAGATGATTAATGTAGGACTTAGAGACTCTAAGTCAATCTTCCAAGGATTGAAATCTATAGTTGATGTTGGAGACAGCCCAAGCACCACATGTAGAATCATCGCCAAAGCATACCCTAATTTGAAATGCATAGTGTTTGATCATCCACATGTTGTGGCATATTGTTCAGCAAGCAAAAACTTGAGTTATGTTGGTGGCAACATGTTTGAATCCATCCCTTCTGCGGATGCAGTTCTCATGAAGGCAAGTTAAAATTAAATATGCTTTATTTTATTGTAAACTTTTATTATTAAAAATTTTAACACTTTAAAATCCATTTTATCTCATTTGATTAGGTATATTAAATATATAATACTAAATAAGTAAGTATCCCCTTTATTAATACCAACTGTTTTCAAATGCTAAATTGGGTTCCAGCTAATCTCTATTGAACCGATCAAATTAAATCACATAGGTTAAAGCTCTCCGAGTCATTTAATTACTTCATTCCCTTCTTTATATAATATTGCTATAGATTTTGGATTTTTTATTAATCTTGTTATATTTAATATTTAATTGAATTATTGAAAAGGGATATAACATTTGGTGTTGGTGATTTCGTACAGTGGATTTTACATAATTGGGATGATGAAGATTCTTTGAAGGTACTGAAAAAATGTAAGGAGGCAATCGCAAAGAAAGGCAAAGAAGGAAAGGTGATAATAATTGATGCAGTGATAAAGGAGAAGGAAAATGATAATGACATGACAGAAGTGAAACTCTTGTTTGACGTTCTGATGATGAGTTTGCTCAATGGGAAAGAAAGAACTGAGAAAGAATGGAAGAAGCTTCTAGAAGCTGCAGGCTTCAAACATTACAAGATTACTCCTTGTTTTGGTTTTAGGTCAATCATTGAAGCTTATCCTTAATTATTATCTGCTTTGAAACTTCGGCCCTCGTCGTGGTAGCATGCCTTATTAATGGTGGTGTAAAATTTTCACAAGTTTAGAGGAATAAAATTTGCTCGAGTTTTAGGGAGATGCTGCCACGGGTTCGTTTGGTTTGTTTTGCTGACAGCTGTGGGTTTCCTTTTGAGAGAGGCTGAGTGTTTGTGGGTTATTTTGTTTCGTTTGTTTTGGGCTGTAGGCCCCTTTATGTACCAAAATAAAAGAATTTGCTCCAGTTTTTTTTTTTTAAAAAAAATTACTTGCAATATTTTTATCAGATACTATTGTTTTATGGACAATAACTGCATAGGGTCAGAAATAAAGGCTTGAGAAGACATTAATTTATAAATTAGGATTAAGGGGCAACAATATTTACAAAATAGTCAATCAGGAATGCCTAATATTTTAAAATGAGACAAAAAATATAAATACTCATAACGTTATATGAATAGGTGTAAAAACGATCAAACTATTAACTTTGATCATTAAATACTGATTGTGCATGCCATGTGTCGTTTTTACTGATATGGACTAATAAAGGAAAAAAAATATTCATGAAGTCGTTGATCAAGAGAACAAATACCCTTAATGTTATCAAAGTTGATGCAAAAATAATTAATCCATCAAATCCCTTAAATGTTGATCGTTTAACTGACACCTAAGCAGAAGTTAACTATTTTTTCACTAATGTAAACAAAAAATATTTCCAAATACATTTTACATATGTTAATCGATCATTGTATGAGTACTCATAATATTATTTTAATAAGTGTAATAATGACCAATCTTTCAAAATTCATGCCACATAGTTTCTTTCCATCTCCACTCATTTTCTTATTTGCAAAACTAAGATTCAATATATTGAGATAGTTTATATCCAATCAAAGATCAAGATTAAGCACACCTCCTATGCCACCCTATTATAAGAATATTGTCACAACCTTAAGTAATTTCATTCTTTTAAAATTTCAAATGGTTTTTATCACTGCTACAAAAAAACAAATGATTTAATTTAATATTAGTTAAAATAATATTTTGTCACATAATATTTATACAATAATCTATTAACCTATAGAGAATTTCATCTGGTTAATATTTTTTATCCATGTCAGTAAAAAAAATGATCAATTTCTACTTAAATATCAACTAAACGATCATGTATAATCCTAAATTTTAAATTAATTTTATATCAAATGAAGAGTGATAAATTATTGAAATTTCTCTAGTAATTTTTTCTAAGGTCCAGAGTTTAAGTTCAATTTTATTTTATTTTAAATTATAAAAAAATTCTGTATCCTTTCTTATAATTTTTCTTGTGCCCTTGTTTATAATTTATTTATTTATTTTTTATTTGTGCTCCTTCTTATAATTTTTTCAAAGTTTCTTTGATCAGATTTTCTTCTCCAGTGCGATAAAAGTCAGCATTTTGGCATTTCTCTTTCTTCATCACCAACAGTTGCTCTCCTCTCTCATTTTCAAAAAATTCCAGATCCAAGAGAGCGAGGGAGAGTGCTCTTCCTCTCTAGCCTCCTTCCACCACCGTTCAGATCACCGTCAAAGCAAGCAGATGCAGTGGTACGGCCGCAAGTCGTGGGTCCTTATTTGACCGTCGATTCTGCATCTTTCTCGCTGCCATCTGTTTCTCCTCTGTCGTCCCCTGTTTCGCGCGTCTCTGATTAACATTCATCATCTTCTTCTTCCTTATTCAGCAGCAGCGTTTTGTTTCCTAGCTTTCATTATTATTGATCAGAGGTAAGGATTTATAAATTTCTTCCTCCTTTCTCGATCCTCTGTGTGTGTTGAAGAGATTGTTGCTGCAATGGGAAGGGGGCTTCGAACTCTCTTCTTGTTGAGCCTATGTAAGCGGTGTGTGAATAGGTGATTGAAGTTGAAAAATTCTCTCCTCTACTGCTGCTGTACGTGACCATATATGAGTGTATAGGGAAGTTTGATTTGAGATCGAAATTGTGGCTGTAATGGTGTGGGTTTAAGTTTTAATCTAATTTGATAGGATTATTGATTGGAACGCTGAATTGCAAAATTTCAGGAAAGTGAAATTAAAGAGGAGAGATTAATATTAGCTTAAGAATTAATGTCCCTGAGATGTTTTAGAAAATACCCGTTAGAAGAATTTGCTTTATTTTGAATTTTTTTAAAAAAATTTTATGATTATGATGAGAGGTATAATTGATTCAAATTTTATTTAGTTGAATTTTTGAAAGTTTTATATTATGTAATTTATAAATTTATAATTATAGTGATGTTTTATTATTTGATCTTGAGAATATGTTTAAGGTGTTTGAGAAACTAGGTAAAAGAAACATGATAAATTTAACTATAAGTGTTTGAAAATTTGTTGGGCAAGAAGCCATTGATTAAAAAATTTTATTAAATACGTTGGAAATTTTGCATGCAAGGTGCGTGACATAAGGTATAAGAAAATCATATCTCATTTAAATAGTTGTTATGATTAAATTGTTATGGATAAATTGGTGGTAAGAGATGGTGTTTGAGAAATCATTAGAGTATGAATTTTGATTTTTTGAAATTTTAACACACTTGCAATTGGTTGGAATTGTGTTGGTAGTGGAATGAAGTTTATATAACTATAAGAAGTAAATTAAAGTTTTATTTACCACTATTCTTATAAGGTGTGTAGAAAATGAGTACCTTATAAGAATTGAGGGAGAAAATATATAGTTGGATATCGAAATTTAATAGTTAAGTAAATAGTATCCTAGTTAATTTATCAATAAAATCTTTCATTGAAATTATTACATTTTTATGTATTTATTATTTTTATTAACAAATGTGATATATGTTGGTTACCTTTTAATTAAATTATTTTATTTTTTAGAGATTATAGAATAATGTTAAAGGATAATTAAATTATGATTTGTGTTAGTATTTTTTCAAGAAATATATTTTTAGATTAATTAAGGTATTCTATTTATTTAATTCTAAAAATTTTTGGCCACTCAACAAAATACAACAATGGACATTATTTATAAAATTTTATTTTGACAAGTATCAAATTGAAGCTTAAGATGATTCATGTGAGATGGTATTGAGAATGAAAAATTATATTTCAAAAATGACTATTTTTCTCATATATTTGAAAAGTGATTTTGAGAGGACTTTAAGTAGAACACTGTTGCTAATGATAATTCCTTTAACCTTTGGCATGCCTTAATCAATGACTAACTAGTTGATTTTATGAGCTATGTTTTTATGTTTGTTATTTGTGAATCTCATACCTACATCTGTTTTGTGGCTTAAACCATTTTAGTTAGTTATCTTTGTGGACTATATGTCCACATCTATTTCATGACTTTGACCATATCTTGTTAGTTATCTTCATAAACTGTGTGCCCACGTCTATTTTATGGCTTCAACCACATCTGATTAGTTACCCTCATAGACTATGTGTCCACATCTATTTCATGGCTTCAACCACATCTGGGTTAGTTACCTTCATGAACTATGTATCCACGTCTATTTCATAGCTTCAACCACGTCTAGTTAGTAATCCTCGTGATTGTGTGTCTATGTTTGTTACCTGTTTTGTTAAGTCCTCAAAATTTTGAATTTTAATTAGCTTGTGTATTTAAAATTTTAATGGTTCAATAAGTGTACCATTTCTATTCATATGAATCATTTGTTTCATCAAGCATGATAAAATAAAATATAATTGTTTATACTAAATTTACTAAATATTCTTCTTTCAATTATTTTATATAATTGTTTAAGTTTACTATATTTATTTTTAAATTATATTATTGGGGATGCTATTCATTAAAAAATATTTTGGTCTTAGATTCATTAGTTAATATTGGACCTCTTGCTGATCATTGAGGGGCTTACAACTATGCTGGGTAAATATTTATAGTTGGAAATTTCTTTTCTTTTTATGTTAATATTTAATTATATGTTTTTTATTTTGAGATTTTTGTTTAGGTGCCCTACATTAACTATAACTAAGATCCTAATTTTTATTTTATTATGTTGATTGTCTGTGGCTGGGGAGTGTAGTTTCGAACTATTGAATGCATATTATAATATTTTTTTTTATTGTAGAGATTTAGAGAGATCTTATTTATGAGGGAGATTCTACCAAAATTTTTACAAAAATATTAAAGCTTTTGTTAAAATGAATATTATTAAGAATGTCATTACTTCAATATAAATTTAATTACATTTTAAAAATTAAAAAGATTTTTTGATTTAAGGCTTAGGAGATGTGTGATATAATTCACATCCTATACTAGTTACTTTTTATTTTTAGGGACATGACAGATTGGTATCACAGCTTAGGTTTTCTTTAATATGTGAAGCATGGATTCTTCAATGGAGTCTCAATTATCATTATGAACCCAGACATATCATAATTGAGACATCATTAAAGGTCATGTAAAAAGTTCTTGAATGTCATTTCTTTCATTTCATTTGATTTTCTTTTACACATGGGTTTTATAACATAGCGAAGGCATAAGTTGTAAAAATAAGGGCAGTTACTTCTTTTCTTTTTGGGTTAAGGTGCATTTTTTGCCTTTGAAACATTTTTCAAAGAGTGCCCAACACCTTAATATTTTTTTGGAGCAATTTTAATTTTAAAGTTATTAAAACGGAGCTTGTTTACCCTTTTCATCAAATTTTTTAACGATCAACGTTTGAAATTAACATTTAAATTTTGACAAAAATGGCAAAAATGTTTCGTTTTCATAACTTTAAAAAAAAATTATTTCAATAAAAATATTAAGGTGCTAGGTGTCCTAGCAAAATACTTTAAAGATAAAAAATATGCCTTAATCCTTTCTTTTTTCTCCAACTAATTGTTTGTAAGATTGAATTCTGAAAGAAATAGAGATCAAGAAAATTGTGTAGTTGTATATCTTATAGTTTTTTACTTCGAATTCCCCATGCTATTGACGGTAGATGACTATAGCTCCCAATGATGGAGCCATGTTGAACCCAAGGAGGGT